GTAACCTGATATTTTCGTATCGAAAAATTTTGCTAACGTAACTGTGACTTCCGTGTCATCCAAATTGATTGGGTATCCTTGTTTGTATACATTGCGTTTGTCTAAAACCCTGAGAGTGACTAGCATCTATTTTCTCACTACAATATCACTCCTGAATCACACATTAAGGTCATGAGAATAAATGAAATGGTCACAAGGGAAGGAACCTTTTGATTGGCAAACAAATTCTCCTCGTCAGCACCTTAGCAAATGTAAATAGGACAGTGTGGAGAATATGCATACTGATGTAGGGGTGTAAAGGGTTAAATAACTTTCAAATTAGCCTATTGAAATGACTTAATTATATTTTTTAACAGGTTACCACAACCGAAACACATATTCCAGATGTAGCACGAACATCTGACTTTGGATTGCGTCCAAGTAACGAGTGGTGTGTTTATGGAATTCGTGACCATCCAGGTAAGCTGAATGATTCTCAATCTCATCTCTTCTGAATGGTTAATGCAAATGACTGGTGAACATTTTGAATTGATGCTGGTGGTTTAATTCTAGATATACAGTTAGATTGTCAACTGAAAAAAAATCAATAGAAAGAAAAACTCATTTAAAACTGATTAAGTCAGTAATCCATGTCAAATTTGCCGTCATTAAGCCTTCACTCCCTAACACGATCAGTATGCATGTTCTCCTTACTGTACTCTTTACATTTCCTAAGGAGCCCACTACAAGAATTTGCACAACAATCATGAGTTTCTTCAATTTGTTATAATTTCCTTAATTCTGGTGTCCATAATACTTTATTCAGAGTGACATTGTAAAGGAAAATTCAATGTTAGTCACACTTAGGGGCCAATGGGTTAACCAGATTCTCGAACAGTTTTTGCTAATCCTTGCCCATACATTTTGTGTTTGTATGCCATATAGAAAGTTATAGTTTTGGGTTTTTTTTTCAATTTAAAGGCAATCTTAAGGATGCCAGAAATTACTTAAGTGTCACAATATCACAATTTTTTTCAATTCTATTTTGCCTGCAGGTTTTATTTTTATTGTAAATCCATTCTTGCCTGGGACACAGTGGCAGTGGATTGAAAAATGTATCAAAGACTATCCTTGTAAGCCAAATTTGTGTAATTTAGATGCTCACATGGAAAGAACATGTGCAAACACAATCTGGGATGAGAGCAGATCTTCTGAAAGGTAAAATGAGGCCTTGCCATTATATTCATTTTTGCCACAAGAAGTAGAGTGCACATCATGTACCAAATATCAAGAAATACTTTTTTCTTTCATTTTATCTAGTTTCAATTAAGTGAAACAAATCCTATATCAAAAGGTACAGGTAATTATTCATAATTTTTGTGTTGCTTATTTGCAGTTGTATGAAGAAGAGTTTACTGTACAAACTCCGCTGGGTTACTCTAGGATATCATTATAACTGGGATGATAAGGTATATGAATAAAGTAGGATGACATAGAAAGTGTTCCCATCTGAAGTGACAAAGAAAGATCCCTTCAGTTTTTGTGGAGAATTTTAACATAACTCAACTATTAATGAAAGCTAATGTAAACTGAGACATGGAATTCAACAATTTTGGAAGATGTTGCTGCTTGCAAAAGTTATGGGAGAATGACAAGGAGGATTTATTAAGTAATATTTTTACTTCCACTCAGTGACACTTAAGTTTTATTGCAGACTTATAACAAAAAGAGACATACACCATTTCCACCTGATCTGGGACAGCTTATTGAATTCATTGCCACAACTTTACAATTTCCCAGGTAAATTTCTCTGTTTTCTTAGGCACAGTTTTGTGTGTTAAAAAAATTGCTAATTCACGTTATCAACTGATTGTGCCAGAAATTGTCACAGTGCCTTGATTCCCAAAATTTAAGGAAAGAAGCCAGGGTTTCTTTGATGCTTCCTAAGTTTCATTGAAGTTGACCTGATTTAAAAGAAAAGGGTGCTTTTTTTCTCAATAGTTTTCTCTCTTTTCCAATCATTCATGCCTACAAAACATCAGTAGCTATACAGCCTGCATTTTGGAATATTTCAGCAAGTTTTTCAAATTTCTTCAAGAACCACAAGTGTGACTTACAAATGCCTATTCTTAGGCAGTAAAAAAGCCTACATAAATAGGCGTGTGAATATTAAAGCAGTAATAGAATTCAAGGGAAAGATTAGGTGTTATGGAACCTTTTTTTTGTTATAAGCTTCAAGCCTGAGGCTGGAATAATCAACTATTATCATCTGGATTCAACACTGTCTGGACATACAGATCATTCTGAGTTTGACCTCACAGCTCCTCTGTTCTCTTTGAGGTACGTTATGTAGAAGGGTAAGCTTAGATAGGGCATAGTTGGGTTTGTAGCAATTCACAAAAAAATCCAACTGACTTTCACTCACCATCTCTTTTACTTTTTTCACTGACCAAGACCATGGCTTAGACTAAGTGTCCTTTATGAAACACTTTGAACCCGGAGTTATAGAACTTTTGACAAAAATAGGGGAATCAGAACTCTTGCTAAAATGGTTTGTAAGAAAAAAGTGATCAACTTTTGATAGCCTGTCTGTTTTTTAAGGAATGAAAATGGTGTGTTTAAAATATAATTATGCGGTTGTACCATGAGGAATAGTAAACATGAATAGAAGAAAAATTAATCAAATCATGGCTGCGTTGTCAAAAATAAAAAAAAATCAACTGTTATCATTATTGTAATCATTATTATTACTATTATTATTAGTAATAGAAGTAGTAGTGGTAGTATTTAAATTTCTCTTTCTGCAGCTTTGGACAAACAGCAATCTTTCTTCTTGGCGGGAAAACGAGGGAGCAGGTGCCGCTCGCGATGTACTTGCGCAGCGGAGATGTTATGATTATGGCGAGAAACTCACGACTGGCTTACCACGCTGTACCGCGGATTCTTTCACCACCAACACACGCAGGCGCACAAAGCTTGCCACTGTGCTTAATGAAAGATAAAGATAAACCAAGCGAGAATTGCAGCGAGAAGGATGATGTTATTCTTGAACACTACCTTACTGCTTCGAGGATAAATGTCAACGTAAGACAGGTTTTAGCACCAGGAAATGAATTTCCAGATGAGGGTCTCGAGGAAGAGTGACAATTGCGGATGATTTGCCCCATTCAAAGAGCAGGTTTTGAAATGAAACCATTCTACTAGGAAGAGGGCTGTATCAAGTACTCCACCTCTTGACGTGATTCGAGCCATCGTCGTCAACTTACAGCGCCAAATACGTCGTCTTTTTCGATGCGCGAGACCTGCTTAGTATGAATGAGAGAGTTAAGAATTAACCTCGAGAAATTACATACATATACATATGTTGCTTCCCTTCACGTCTTTCGCGTGATGTGTGACGTCACAAACGCCTACGGGTCACGTACTGAACGCGCATGAAGCAATCAGCTTGTCACGCATTGTCGGTGGCGACTAAATTTTTTGGGTGATTGGAAAATCGGAAAGAGGTGAAGAAAAAGCCATCGACTTGCCACAGTGGCTTGCCTCAGCCAGGTAAGGTGTGAATCTGCTGGGAAGTAGTCCTTTGGTCAATTTACACTCAGCTGAAAATATGGGAACTGCTCTGCTCTAATTGGAATTATATTTGTAAACAATATGTGTCAATTTAACGTAATATTAAATGGGACATTCTTAATGAAGATTGTGGAGTTATATTTTCCACCAGCGTTTAAGCTATGGAAAGAAGGCTGCTCATCTTATTTTTGAGTGCTTTAATTTTGTTCGATGTGACGGCTACTTTTCCTCTTTTCCGTGGCCTTCGTGAGGAATATGAGCCGCAACCTGAAGCTGAACTTAAAAAATCTAGTGGTGTTCTTATGGCTGAAACTCGTTTGAAGACAAAGACAGATTTCTCAAGAAATACGCTTGATCTTAACAGCGAGATTCACAGGCATCGCGAGCATGGGCGTGGGTCGTCATTACATGCGCGTTTAGCTTCAAGGGATGAGAGTAAAGCTCAAAGAAAGAAGAGATCAAAATTCATAGCGCTTTCAATCTTCGGTGGATGTGTGGCTTTCATGTCGCTGTCGTTTGCCATAATGTGCTGTGTGCAACGCGTTAAGGCTTCGGCGAATCGAGTGAAGGAAGCGACGCACGTGGACGTGCGCCCGCGGCAAGAGGCTGACCTCCCAGGGCAGGTCAGTAAGATTGATGATGATGCAGTACATATCGACGTGGGGCAGTATTAGTGTTGTTCGATTGGACAAATCGAGTCTTTATATGCAAGTCATAGCTAACCAAAGCAAAGAACCGAATATTTTATTCTTGTCTCTCAGAGTACAATAGCTATATTTTGAACCGTATAAACAGTATTCTGAGGAACCTAGACTGTCTTTGTGCTGGGCTAAAATATTTCAAGGCAGCCGATCGTACAGAAGATCTAGCTCGCGAAGCAGTGTATTTTAAAATTACAACCGTAACTTATTATTCTCGTAAGTTATCACAACGAGGAAATAATAAATATCTATTTCTCAAGATAAATGGCTATAGATAGCTATATACAGCTCTAACTATAATCCATCGAGTATTTCAAACAGCGTGCGATCGGTTTTTGAGTGTCATGTGACCAAATATGTCCTTGGTAAAACGAGAACTTTTGGTGTTTTTTCCAACGTGATATTCACCAATTTTGAAACTTTGTACTCAACGGGATGAAGGACTTCCTTTATATACCAAAGGAAGCGACCAACTTGTCTTTAGTCATACAAAAGAACACTGTAAAGTCGCTAGCATATGTTCTCATTAAATAGAGGCTGTCGTTTGTTTATGTGGCATAATTTTTTTTTCATTTCAAGATTTTTTCCATTACATGAACTGTTGTGAAGTGGAGAGGTTTTGAAGAAGTCTAAAAAGTATCCAATTGATATATGTCCCAGACAATGGGTTCCTCCTCCATTGTGGTCGCTCAGAGCTATGAACTGAGAGTTATTTCAGTAACGTTTTGAGTTGAATACTTCTTAAAACACCATTCATATATATATGTATTCTAAATCACTGGAAATGTCCCAAAGCGTATATCGATTTAGTCTATTACCTCCTGTTGAAATATCAGGCTGAAACATTTCCCTCGCCTTTGTCATTAAAAAAAAAAGTGATACGAAAATAACTGTCAGGTTGAAATTGGCATTAGCTAGGTTGATATTCTGTAAATTCCTATTTGCGTATTTTATAGGAAAATTCATTACCAGACGTGGGAATCCCGCGTTAAATTGCACGCGAAAACCGATATCGCGCGAATCGCGAAGCGATGAGTAAATATCATCTATATATCTTGTATTTATTTATCTCTGGGTTGGGGTGGTGGGAAGGGCGGGAGGATTTTGGTTGTGTCATGATAGAAGTTACCTGATTCCTCTACAAGGCTCTTTAAAAAATTCAAGTGATCCACCTTATTGGTGGTCAATTCTCTATAGTCCTCCCTTTATACTCTGTTGGTAACAAATGACACTTCCCCCTCTTCCTCATGAAAACCATGTGATCCCCAAAAAATCCTCCAGCCCCAAACCCTCCCTTCCCCTTCCCCCTTCCCCAACCCGGGCGGTAGATAATGACTAGTCCATAAGAATGAGTTTTGGGGGAAGTCTGACGGGTCTTCAACATGTGACATCGTGTCTTGCGGTCCTTTGGATACAGAATAATTTCTTTGAATGTTCATGCAAAACGATGTTATAACGATGTCAGCTATCGGTGGATAATTTTCTAACTGAATTTAGTGTGATTTGGAAGAAGCTGTTCCTCCTGCGTTCGAGGAGTTGTCGTCTTTCTTTGTTGTGAGCTCTCCTCAGTTCGTTAGCAATTTCACAGAACCTTTGATAAAATGTATTCACCTCCTGTTTCAATTGTTGTCGCAGAGACGCGAAATGTTTGTCAGGTTCTGAGTTAAATGATAAAATAAATAGATGAATGAATAAATGAATTAGTAATAAATGACTGGTAAAATAACAAACGGATAAACATGTATATAACTTAGAGTTGCGTGCTGGTGTACCTTTCCAACAAACGTTGCCGATTGCAATGTTTCTGCATAGTTTTGGTTTAATTCATTAATTGTAAGTTAGCACAAAATATGTCTATGTCTGTTCCTTTCCGAGTTGACGTCTTTCGAACTTACTTATTATGGTTGAGTGCTGTTTCACTTTCCTGCAGTATATCTGACCCACCAACCCGCAAAGGAGTGCAAAGCCCAAGACAATCGTCAGAGCGAGATAGCTGAAAGAGAACTGGGAACTATCCGGGTCAAACAAACCGCCACTTATTTCCTCCGCGATTGATTCTTCGTGAGGCTGACACAAAAGAGAACCGAAAATAACATTCAAATTGGATTCAATGAATAATGGGAAATGTTTTCAATTAAAGGAATGCTCCCATGCAGAAATAAATGGGAAAAATGAATAAAATAAATTATATTTTTCAGTGCCTTATATTCAGAGATGGACAGTTGGGCACCGATTTGAAGGCGGAGATAGATACAGAGGGTTGGACTGGGCAGACAGAAAGACAGACTGATAGGCGGACAACTTGACAGACTGACGGACAGACAGATAGACCGACAGACAGCTTGACAGACTGAGACAGAAAAACAGATAGCTTGACAGACAGACAGAAGCTTGATAGACAGACAGACAAAAAGCTTGATAGACAGACGGACCGACAGACAGCCTGATAGATAGACAGACAGACAGACATCGGCACATAGGTGACACACAGGCATACAGAGGGACGAATGGATGGACGGAGAGGCGTGAGAAAGAAGGACAGTCAGACCTATAAACCAGTAAAAAACAAACCGCGAAGAAAGACGATCAGACAAAACGAACTCCTTGAACGAGTTAACTGTAGCGAATGAAGAAGGATGTGCTTTGTCTAGTAATTTTTCTGATAATAAAATCAGCATACCACAGGAATCCTTATTGTTTCTTCTATCTTGTGGTAAATCTCCCATTTATGGAACTTCGCGAAGTCAAAGAAACACTTTTCTAACTTCATTGACGGCCCTGCTAGAACCACTCCGTAGGTCTTCTGGTAGTCGAAGACCTTTAATACTCGTAAATCGCGATTGGAGGAGAGATGCCTTTGCATGGACAGGACATACACGTCAATAAGAGCGCCTTCTACCTCTTTGTCTTTGAGAGCTTTGTTTATGGCACTATATGTATGATACTGTTGAACTATGAAACGGAAGAAAAGGGTAGTTAATTTAACTAGGAGTCAACATTTCATAAGTCAAGAAAGTACTGTATGTTACATGCCACTATGCTACCAATGGAGAACATCCGCGCAGGATGGAAAACCAAACTATACATCTTGAGAATCTGGGGGGAAAGCAGCATGAAATCCGACCTCTTTTTGCATGAATTTTGAAACTGAAGTTTATGTCTGGCAAAAGAATGGCTCTCGGTCCGAACTAAAGGTTATTGCGATAAAAATAACGTTAAATCAAGCCCCTGCCTCCGAGATGGATTCGCCATTTTCAGGTTAATGGTAATAGATAAAATCGCGAAATTGGACGCAGTCATACAGTAACGCGGCGGAAATTCTTAACAAACCGTCTTCAAGCGAAGAAGTAAAAATGATCGGTAGTAGAAGATGTCGGACGTAAAGTGGTCTGCAAGAGTTAAGATAGTTCTGAAGTAATTATGCCTACGTGTCGTACCTGGATTCATACGTGCCACTTTGCGCAGCCCAAATAAATATTCCGGAGAACCTTGGATGGCTCCAACCTAAAGAAAGTGTATGGCTTCAGTTTGGAAGGTGTCATTTGTGATGCTCGAAATTCATCCTTTTTAAGTAACTACGAGTTTTCACCATACCCAAAGCCGATTGGGAGCTCGAAGGTATCTTCGGAGACTATAGGGTATTTTCGGATAATGACCTCGATTTCGCTTTCCATCGACATGATTGGCTGAGCAAAACGTAACATTTTCCATAGACGGATCTAATTATCACATCCTATAATAGTTTTACTAGGTTCAGCCTTCCGCTCAGCGGCGCTCCTTTGGCTTTTTCTGGAGTCAATCGTCTCTTCAATGACTGTGACCAAGAGATTATAAACTGTTTATATTCTCTCGCTCTAACTCATAAGATGAACTTACCTTAGCACCATAAACTTTCTTGTTGGTGGTTTTAAACAAAGAGTATGATATGAAAGCATTGGTCATATCAGCCAAAAGAAACGAAATCATGACGAGGCCAAATAGCGTCCAGGCTATCGCAAAAAGTCTTCCTAGGAGGGTACGAGGAACCTTGTCGCCATAACTTGAAAAAAATGAAAAAAAGACTACTTTTAACGAAAAACTTGGTACATACCCAATTGCACCTCTATTAAATGAGCGTTCTATCAGGAACAACACAGAAGTTTCGCACCTTACGTTCTTTAGAGAACATTTCATTTCGCCATAAAGAAAAAATGCATTTCTTTGACTTTAGCTTTACCTCCTTCCACCGATCAGTTTGAACAAGTAAATATTTCATAATCAAGCTAAAAAATATATTTTCAGTCATCGTGCTCGTCTCTCTTGTAACCCAGCCTTTTACCCCAAGATGATAAACTCCTCACCCTAATGTTGTGCATGTGATAAAGGACCACCAAAATCCTTCCCATAATCCTCCTATGAACGAACTTGGAAACTCCTCGGGGTTAGTTGTCGATTCCTATCAAATATAAGAGGGGAACACAGCAAACTTTTAAACATAATAGATGGGTATCAATTTTGTTAATTTTAACACCATTTCTAAGAATGCACCTCTCAAGTATTTATTCTTGAAAATATAATATATTTTTAATCATTTTCACAATACTAGGATTTTATAGAGCCTCTACTACTGATAAGTCACTTAATCAGAACTAAACGAGCAAATTATGACGGAATTGTAGATGATATTCATTGCGTGCCCATATCGACAGTTGTGAGTGCTAATACGACGATCAACGGTACGCAGGAAATTCAGTATCTTCACTGAAATTTTTTGACGAATTTGCAGCTCTTCCAAGGATCAGTGAAAGTTAGTGAGAAGAAGTTTGCTTTATTTTCGGTTGGCAATTAATGGCATATAAATCGCTGTCGACATTTGTGGCCTATCATGACTTATTACCTCTGTGAACTAACTCATCTCAATTTTCCAATATTAACTAAGAGAACACCGACCTCTAGATCAAAAAGGAACTTTGTGATACAAATGGAACTAATTCAACTTACAAGAACCCATATAACACTTGCGGCCAGCGCCATCATTAACAATGAAAGGAGCAGCATGGGGAAGCAGGCAGTGGCGACCCATATCACAAAACTGACTCTCTCTTCAGGTGAAGGCACAGGTGCGACAAAAGCCACCCCGGCCGACTCCATCAAAGGTACATAGCGATACACCCCAAATGTAGACTGACCCCTGTACCCCTCTATGGGGAAGCTCAAGTCGGTCTCGTACTCAATCTTGTGTACTAACGACACGTTATCCTTTTCAGCGGGTACTCTTTCTCTGTCATGTTCATAATCCACTGAAGTGGCTCCGTGTCCATTGGTGCAAGGCAAACAGCACGTGCGAGTTGCCCAGTTTAATATAAATGGAAAAGCTCCTATGTAAGAACCGTTCTCAAGCTTCATGTAAGGAGGCAGGGAATGCCAGTTAGTTGTCATTCTCAATGGGCACGTGCAAGTTTCTGAAAGACAATAGTTAATGATAAGACTGATTTGATTCATTCGTTTCGCATCAAACAAGAGATAATGCGTTCTCCTTTTATACTGGTGCTTGCGACCATATTTTATTTTTCTATAAAAGACTTTGTTGACAAAATGTTTTCGGCTTCAAGCTTAATTCGAGCTAACGAAGGAGACTACGAGGAAAACATGAAGACAGTTTTTGACCATGAGTTGATGAGTATTGATCACAAGTTGTGGATGAAATATATAAATCCTACATCCTAGCTTCCGTTTTCTTTTTTTTTTTCCTCTGTCTCATTTTTCAGACATTCTTTTTACAACTTCAACACACCTGCTATAATGCTTTGAGTTCCCGCTCCGTCCCCTTTCACTGTGAATGCTAACACTCGTATGTCATATACAGCATAGTTCAGAAGCCCTGTCAATGTAAAATTCAGTGCTGTTGGTTTGGCTGTTGTGGTTAATGTCGGTTGCCTCACGTCTTCTTCAGCTATACTCAGTACTCTGTAGAGGATGCGATATCCCAACAAGATTCCGTGCACAAAGCCCTCTGGGACCGGCTTCCAGGACACCAGAATGGAATGTGGTCCACTCAAGTTAACCGCGCTAGGTCCCACAGGTGGCTTGCTAGGGACTTAAAAACAGTCAAGTGTACGTTTCAACTGGTTTAGTGTTTTGATAATTTAACATAATCGTTTTCCTGACTTTATACACTTCACACTTCCTATTTATTTCTTGTTACTTTGAAGTAAGACGAGGTTTAATCCTATACAATATGCGATTTACTCAACTGTAATAAAAGTTCACTGCAAACTTAGAAAATATTTATTTTTCATTTTATATCATACTCGCCAAACTAAGGTTTGGTGTGCCTCAGCAGCAGCAAACCATCACGTAATTAGAATCACTAGGCCCATGACATGACGGTGAAATTTCTAAGGTGACTCCTATCATAGGTAGTTGACCACGTTTATGATCAGTGGTATCTATATAATTAATACCACAGTTATTCCACTCCACTACATATTAACAACTATAATGTTTGCAATACACTTACTGTCCTCATCCGTGCTCACGTTATAAGTTAGGCTTATTTGGCCGTCGCCTTTACTCGTAAAGCCAACAATTTGAAAGGAGTAATAAGTAAACTTTTTTAGGTTGAATATTCTAAGAGATGTTGCGTTCGGAGGTAAGGTTCTAACGGTTTCGTTGAGAGTTTCGACAGATCTTATGCGCCTTCTTCTCCCATGATATGCGTTTGTGTGCTGATAGTAAAACACTCTGTATCCCAGGAGAATGCCATGAACTAGTTTCTTGGGAATCTGTTCCCAAGTGATCAATAGACTCGTGGAACTTGTGTTAGTTGAGGTTATGTTCAGCGGTGGAAGACTTGGGACTAAACACGAAAAAAAGATGAAGAATGCTATCAAAATTGTGGAAAGGTTTTCTCAAAAAAGTCTCGTTTCCTTTTCTTTTACTTTACTTCATTTAAATTTCTCAACTCTCCGTCAACATTTAAAGTAATAGAGTACACTACCAATCGCCCTCGACAATCCGTGGCTGGTCTTTGAGAAATCCTAGGGTCTGGACCCAATGCAAACGCTATTTCAGTTGTCACACGATTGTTTATGTCAATCAACACACTCGTTCCTTAAAATTGTTGCGTGACGAATTGGTAACAGCCGTGTAAGGGGCAGAGCCCAGTAAACGCAACTTACTCACGGTTCTAGTTATAACTACAGAAGCTTAGTTACTCTACATCTTACCATCTTGATCTGTGATGATAACAATGGGTGGACTATTCACTCCAAAGAATTTGCTAATTCCTTGAATTTGAAAACTATAATTGGTATACTTTTCAAGATTTGTCAGGTTTACAGACAACTGGTCGATTGGCAGTCTTAGCGTATGCGTCTTTACCGGATCATTCAAATCGTTCAGTTCGACATAGACAACTCTGTACTCCCGCAAAACGCCAGCTACTAATTCCGGTGGAATAGCAGACCACTGAAGGTAGATAGAGCGGGAGGTGGTGTTTTGCCCGGTGACATTCCACGGGTATACTTGAGGTGCTGTAGAGACAATGAAACAAGAGCAGAAACTTTTTTTTTAACCAGAGAAATTTTAATTTAGAGTCGAATGTGAAAAGCTACTCAAGCTACTCATATTTTGAGAGAGGAGTAGTTAAAAAGCAATCTATCGGCAAAACGAACGTCCATCATGAAAGAGGAAAGAAGGCGAGACGAGCAAAGGACGTCTTTGGGGCTCGGTCGCTCCTTTTTCTTCTTGGTCTTTGGTGGGTCAAGAAGTCGCATTTGCCCCCATGAGGCTCCAAACAGGGGAAATCTTGCCTTTAAATCACATTAAAGGCAACAGTATCTGAATTTAGTTTCTTCTACCATGTTCCTTACCTTCTTCTTCTGTTCTTACGGTGATTGGTGGGCTCTTTGGCCCATTTCCTTTTATGGTAAATGCAAGCACTTGTATCGTGTAGAAGGTATATGGTCTTAGGAAGCTCAAAGTGACGTTTTTTCTTGGGAATGGAACAGTTTCATTAAAGACTTCGTCCGATGACTCATTGAAGAAAACCATACATCCAAGCAGGATACCATTGACGTCACGAAAGGGGACATCCTCCCATAAGACCCGGATGTCGTGCTTGCTGATGTTATAGCCATAAACATGCTGTGGGGGAGCTCCAGGGACTAAAGATAAATTGACATAGTTATACCTCATGTAATACCTCCCCAAGGACGGTTCAACCAGTAGGGCAGGTGGGGCATTTGCGCAACCAATTATGGACGATACAAAAAAAGAAGAGGTTGGAGGGAATGGGAGGGAGACCTGAGGGATAAAGACATCGATTAACCAGATATCGGTCGGATTATGCTAATCAAATTCTTAAAATAATTATTACTTTAATTTTGTTAATTCAAATGCAATCCTCCGCTCACTGAGGGAAAATCACGGCTGGGCGAAGGCCTGGCATCGATTCCAGGTTTAAGTCGAAAGTCTACAGTCGTGGTTTTTATAGAGGAAAGAAAACCTGTAGACCTGGACAAAAAACCCCTGAGGTTGGAAGAGAACAGAAAAAAGACTACACCCACAAGTGGCTACTAGCTCAAGATGTACCTGAACGTGCCACACGAAACCGCAGACAAAACGATAGACCACATTGCAGACTTTTTGAGATGCTGGCCTATGACAACAATTTAAGAAATAGTATCCGGACTTCAGCGGCGAAGGCAGAGCATTATCATCCTAGCTTCGCCCTCCCTAGTCTCTCTGAATATGTTTTAAATAACGAATTAAAATTTAGACTAGTTGTTACTTCCCTTACCATCCTGATCAGTAGTGCTGTTGATGCGGTGAAAAGGACCTGCTCCCTTCACTGTATAGGCGAGAACCCTAAATTCGTACTCAACGTACTCGTCTAAACTTTCCACCTCCAGCGACAAAGTTGAACTGCACACTCGTACTTGCACAGTGGATTCCAGACCATCTAATCTGTCGTAAGTGATGTGGTAACCACGGAGTATGCCGTGAAGAAAGTAGGGGTCAGCCAATGGCTTCCATGACAACAAGATTGAGGTAGAGCTCGTATTCCATGCGGTAATATGCGAAGGCCTCCAGGTTGGCACTAGGAGAAAAAGTGTATTTTGTTGTAAAAAAAATGTCCATCATTTAATTTCATGTACACAAAACAAAAACGAGATGGATACTGAGATAATAACTTGGGCTTCGCATACACGACACTGAATATATTTTGTACGCTTCATGGTGGACAATTTAACCCTCTCGCCCCCAAGATCCCGTCAGTAATTCTTTCTACTGTCTGCCATACAATTCTTATAATGTTGGTGCGGAGAATTTGGTATTAGATCAACTAATAATCCCCTAAATGATATTTTCCTTTATTCTCATCATTTATGTACTTGATATTCTAAGGATATTATGAGGAGAAATTCTGTCTCGGGAGTTAACCTTATTATCGTGGACACTGGGCTTATCCGGAAGAATCAAT